ACAGTTTTAGACAAAAGTTATGTTAAATACAGCAGTATAAATCGTCGCAATTTCGTGCGTCAATATGACCCCTGCGTGTACTGACGGCGGCTTATAACAATATTAGTTTACTAGATTTAATACACCCGGAAACTCAAAGTGTGGCCTCTTCAAATATAAACTGCTTGCCATCTGACACCCGTACGTTAAGAGCCGTGTGAACTAGTCTTAGTCAGGAGTCTTAGTTTCACTAAGCACTTTCGTCTGCTTTAACGAAAGATTAAAATTAATCACCAGTGTGAACTTTCATCAAAACAAGGGGTCATTGGAGGCTCTGGGCATCCCGGCCTGACAACATTTTGCGAGTTTCTCCTACTTCTTGTCTTTAACGGTGGAAGATTTTTTGCAGTGTTTTCGTAAGGTCCGTAAGGATTTTCCCAGTTCTGTTTTATAAAAGAATCACTGTGCCTGCGTTCGCTATTCTCAATTTCATTCCCAAGCGTTTCTTCCCAATCTAAATCTTTCCAGAGAAATCGAGAGTTTAGTTTCGTAACAGGAAAGTTAGCCGTCTCGAAACAGCTTTCATCCCTCGAAGTTTGTCGTATTGCAGGCAATAGCGGTCGTTTTTTCAGTGTGTTTGGTATCTCTGTCGAGTCATTCATCTCGCGTTCCGCTTTCAATAGCGCCAGTAATTCTTCAGCTCTCGCGTTTTTTACGTCACCTCTCATAAACGTCCTTGTCTTCGTCGTGTCATCCATTTGATGTATTTCTGCTATTCAATAAGTACTCCGTGTATGTGTTTCAGGAAATGCGTGTATTAACGATACTGTGTTTCTGTTTTTCCAAACACGTATGGTATACTCTTGACACTATATTCCTAAAGGATTCTTGCCAGTCGGTATATATGTTGCCTGATTTCAGAGACACTGTATTTCTTCACTATATTCTTGATATCTTTTCCGATAGTGTTTTGCTGACACTATATATATTTCACTTTGCCTAACACTGTATTTCAATCTTAAGACAGTGTAGTATATAGTATTCCTGAAAGTACATTTATCTTGATAACACTGTTGCTACTGTCACTGAATTTCGGCTACCGTGTTCATTGTTGATTATATATCGTAGCCGTAGATCACCAATAAATTAATTCTTTAGTCTTGACGGATGAACAACGCGCGCACAACGGACCAGTCACCTCACTTGTTCCAAATTATATCATGTGTTATTAAATTCTACTCCTTTTCTTTGCCCCAAGACAGGTGTATTAACAACAAAAGAACACGAAGTCCCACACACTTGGGTACAACTCGAGTATTTCTCGCCTTAAACTGTACAATACACAAGAACTATTAAGAAGCTTTGAATATGACACCAGTATAAAATACAAACATATGACAATTCACAGCAATGTTATTATCGCCTCAAGAAAGACTCGCGGTGCGCTTTCCTAATAAAATTATATCCACCTTGACCAGCGCCGTGTAACAGCTTTGCGGAAAATCCCTTGTCGGTTTAGAGCATCAATTGGTGACAGCGAATATTAAGTGGAGCGTTCACAATTTATTCCTGAAGAATTTAAGTTTTTTTCAACAAGTAGCGCAGTTGTGAAATCCAGCTAGCTTTCTTCAAGTCTTCAAATATGATGTGGTTTCAATTTACAGCCAACTTTTTTTTCTTCAGTGTATTTCCGAGTCTTCAATTTCAACTTTAAGTGTCTCAGGAAGTATTACAAACGAAATTGAGTATATAATCCTTTCATCTCACACAAAATAAACTAACTCGCGCACGTTTGTCGCAGATCAAATACGAGAACCAATCAGAGCACAGCATTCTATCCAATGGCACCACGCGGCTGCAATCTACGAGTCTTAAATCAATTTCTATTGTTGTCCTCGTTGAAATTGAAGCGAGATTTGTGTCAACAAAACTTATCCATCTGTTTCTCGTGGATTATTCTCTGTTTATGTTGTAACTATAAATAATGGCTAGTTTTATGTTCTTTGTGAGGACCGCTCATTTAATATTTATGGCGGGGGTGGCGCCGAAGAAAAATACCCAACCTCAAATATCAATTAAAAAACAAATACCCACCCCTGGCCAAAAACTTTACAAAAGGATACCATTCAGTTGTCACACATGTCCTTTACCACTTCTGTGACATGAGTTTGATAACTGCTTATGCAATTTTCTGCAGTCTAAAGTTTCATGTTGTCTGCACATGTACTTTCTTTGGAGACACCATTTGCCTCCTAACGAATCGGAAAATGATCAAGATAGTGACTCTGATTGATTTACATATTGTATTGACATATGACTGTTGACATTATGCTTTTTAGTCTTCAATATTTGAGTGAGCCATGCTTTGGAAATGACAATACTTTGTGTTGTTTTGTTTTGTTTTTTCATTTACCCAACCTTTTACTCACTCGCATGCTTTGCCTCTGAGACTCTTTGTCCACATGGGATTAACAAAGAAATTATGTCAAGTACAACATTAACATAACGATTAAGCTCTTGAATGCATTTCACACTTACATTTTAAGAATATAAGCTAGTTGAATGTGTGTGGAATTTAGAGCAAATTATCAGGGTTTTTCGTCACCAGGGTTCCATTTCTGAAATATGCAAATCTCTCTCTAAAAATTCCCCTCTTTTGCGCCAAACGACATATATATTCCATCATTTCCTCTTGTAATAACACTGAAGCAACTGGACTTCTAGAGAGAACAGTTTAGAACTGATAGAGCTATTCAGAACATAAAGAATATTTATAATTTATTTTTCAAGAAGAATGCATTAATATTGCAGTAAGTGTTACCCTCTTTAAATAAATAGGAATTCATTGCGTCATTTAACATCATTTATAAAGTAATTACAACGGAAGGAATTGTATTAATAGCCTTGCCCCCGTACACCCACAATAGCATAGGATTAACATCTATTTGCCATTAAATTTTCGATTGTTTTCCGTTTTTAGCTCCTATATATGAGCTACATGCTAGGACTGGGTCAACTAGGTATATTTCAAAGTTTAAGGATTTTTCTGTAACCGTAGGTCGAGTTAATCCAAAACATTTTCTCCATGTACTCTTGGGGACAATTTCATGTTCAAGTTGAATCAATAAAGAAAGGATTATGTATGCCAAGGATAATTTGTTGTCATTAAATGAAATAAACTGTATTTATGTCATTTTTATGTTACTATGGCAATAATTGCCTAGCTGTCAAAGGACAAGCTGTTAGCCAAATGCTCTGTTCTACATTAACCGTTACAATTGTGGAATAAAATTGTCCGAGGGGCCAAAGGAATCATTTAGTAAAGCGTGCATTCCTTTTCAAGACAATACGCTGATTCCAACTTGTCATCTCGGACAGTATATCAGTAAGGATAAGCAAGTTTATAACCAAGTCCATAAGTCATAACAACAGATGTTCTATTTGAAGATGACTTGTATAGAATGACTTTGGATCTTCGTAGGAGAAAATGAATCGCCAATTACATCTATCTTCCCAGACAAGTCAAAATGATGAATTTAACGGCAGCTCGCAACAATTAACGTTGAATGTCACTTTAAAAGATTTGAATATTCAAGCAAGAAAGATATTGAGAAGGAAATTGTTGAAGGATAATGTACAAACAAGGAGAGACGAGAGCGACGTTTATATCTCTGGGCCGTACTTTCCTTGCGGAGAATATAACCTGAAGAAAAGATTGAGAAAGAATTCTGTAACTTCTCTTACCGAGAGTTGCGCAAACGATGGAGGAATTTCGATGGCAGAAAAAAGCTCGTTCGTGGAAATTGTGATAACAGAAGCCAAATCAAACCAAAGTGAACTTTCTAGTGAAGTCGAACGTGGAAAAGCGAAGGTGTTTGAATCTGACAAGAGTTCTACATTGAGCAAAACAAAGGTTCCCATATTATCTGTAAGTGATCATGATTTGACAGAGGTTTCTAAGTTATCAGAACCAGAAGAAAAACAGTGTGCGCCCAGTACGACAGATGATTATGTACAGCAAGGAAGAGGTAATGAATTTGAAAATACAAAATTGTTAGAAGAAAGAAAAAAGCAGACTCCTGGCTCTGCTAATTCAAGACGGCCTAGCAGTAACCTCGAGTTATCAAAGGAAAAACAGTCTGTCACAATTACGACAGAAAAATGTGTACAAGGAGCTGTTGATAACACGACATCGTTAGAAGAAAAACGAAACCCGCTTCCTAGGTCACCTAACTCTAGACGATCCAGCCAATTAGAGGCCAGATCTAGAGGAACAAGCCCATTCTCTGAAAGAAGACGTGAAAGTCGTATGTCTGGTAACGAGAAGAAAACTTCACCCAACCACTCAAGAACTAATTCTGCTGCTACTGATCATTTCGCTTTGGAGAATATTTTGAATCCATTACTTCGGGAATCTTTAAAGAAAATATTAAACCCTCAAAGATACGTAGAAAATGCAATACCTAACGATATAGACAACACTTCACCATTGGTTGCAAACGATAGTAGAATCATTTTCAAAGACGATATTTTGCTACCAAAAATCAAAAGACGCTTGGTAAAATATAGCTCATTAGATTATGGGGATCAGAGTAAAAGATCTTCAATGACCAATGATAGTTTGAGAGATAAATATAGAAAGAAGTCCACAAGGCATGTTAGGTTTAATGAACAGACCCCTGAACTAACTTCAACAAAATGCACTGGGATAAAGTTGACTCGTAGTCACCCAGTACGCATGCTCAGTGGTGGTTCAGAGTATGCAGTGAAAGGGGTTATTGGTCAGTGGTTAAAGCGTCGTTCAGGAAACACTGTTCAAGCTGGAAGAGAGAAGGCTAGCGTGGAAAAACAGGAGGCGTACCGCGAAGTACAGTTATTGAAAATTGGAATGAGTATGAGAATGTTAGCAGGCATTGTTTGAGGGTCCGGATTAGCGTCAGAACTACACATGTAAAAATCTCACATCTTGTAGCGAGTCTGCCAACAAGCCGTCAACAAGTTGTGTTCGCACTGCTTGTCCCAAGTTGTCAACAAGTTTGGAACAACTTGTTAACAACTTGTAATAACCTTGTTGATATTATCAGACTTGTTGCAAAGTTGTTCCAACAAGTCCGATACAGTCATGATATAACGATATAGTTACAATCTTGTGTCGTCAACCTTGTAACATTCTTGTTATATCACGACTGTATCAGACTTGTTAGAACAACCTTGTAACAAGTCTGATAATGCCATCAAGCTTGTTACAAGTTGTTAACAGCTTGTTACAAACTTGTTACAACTTGTGTGTTTTTACATGTGTACTTGCAAAAGATTAAAACTCTAACAGTTCTTTCCGGCATCAAGTTTGGCAGATTTTGTGTGCTAAAAACAAGAATAACCACAATACAAAATGATTGTAAAAAAGATGTATTTGTTAACGTTGTTATATTTATAATCTGTATATAAAATTTAAACAGTTTATGTACAGTAACAAGTTGTAGTAAATGGTATACTGTAACGCCTGGTGATATTTGTAAAGTTTGTATTTTTCGGACATATAATTTTCATATACCACTGGTGTTTATGAAGCCATAAATATATTGGGTCGTTTCAGAAAGGATCCATACTCCCCCCACGGAGGAAATTTCTGCCGTCCGGAGGGGAGAAAAAATTGTTTCTGATAATAGTAAATGTATAAGGACATCCGAAGGGGATAGGGGGGTTAACTTCCTATTTCCTCCGTGGGGGTGGTATGGATGTTTTCTGGAATGACCCAATTTCGTTCCTATCTAGTATATCACAAAAACTAACATCTAAAATTTTCTTAACTCAACTCTCAAGTCCATAAAGATCTGTGTAAAGACCGATTTACACTAGAAAACGTTTGCCAAAAACTGTCGCGTGCAATCTGCTTACAACTTGAGTTGTACTGTGTAAATCAAACACACAATGGACTCACCTACAACAACATAAGTAAGTTGTGTGCTTGATTTCCACAGTACAACTCAAGTTGTAAACAGGTTGCATGCGACAGTTTTAGGCAAAGATTGTGTAGTGTAATTCGGCCTTAATATTTCAGCATTTAAATATAATATAGTTTGTACACTGAGATGATCATACTCTGTGAAAATGTCTTGCAAGGTATAATTTATCCAACGTCAATAATTTAGTCCATCCAAATGCACACACAACGCCCCCAACTTTAAGAACACAACACCGCATCTTAGCGCGTGTATGATGTACACAGCAACCAAGCTATCTCGATGTGGAATGTGATATCATGACTTTCGGAAGGATTTTAATATAGGATATATATTCTCAAATGCATCGTAGATTTCTTGCCTCTCTTTCGCTCCTAAAATACAAGAAACAATTTTCGATGGTACACTATCAAATTTTCTGTGATCTTGATTGGCTAATGGTAGCAGCGATCAAAATCTGAGCCTCTCTATGCAGTAAATGTAAACAAACCTGTCAACACGACTTTTCCCGAGACGAAGATCAACAACACTATACGAGGTTTCACCATACGATAGATTAAACCAGGAAATAATTCTGGTTCATAACTGCAAAATATTTATATGAGAATTGGAGTGTGAATTTTATATATATTTTTTACACCTAACCAGGAACAGAAGCGAAAAATGCAACTATACGTTCCTGGCAGGAATTGAACCTGCTGCCCTGCGATTCTGATGCAGCGCTCTAACCAGCTGAGCTACAGAGGCCAGTTGTTGAGCTCTGACCACACGGTTGGTTTAGTTTTCTTGTTCGGAGAGCATCTTACCTTGAGAATTGAGCGTGGGCCAGTACTAGTCCTTCTAATCTGATTGGAAACTTAACGTCACAGCTTCCCACCATATTCTGAATTTTAAACTCTGTGAACTTTGCCTAAGAAATGAAGTACAATTAAGAAACTCCAAGCTACTGTAGAGTACCAACTCTCCTGAATCACAGCCTTTCCTCAATATGACTTACTGGAAAATCCAATTTTTGAACAACCCGAGCATACTTTCTGGCGGCCAGTCTTGACAGATCTTCACTGGAAAATTGAAAATAATTTGTTGTATATCAAGCGTCAAAGTTCATATTTCATTGGTGATCCACAAAACATACAGTTTTCTTCAGAGCCAGTCAATACATGTTAAATGTTGGCCGACTGTTGCAAAGCAACGTTAGCAGGAAAACTATATCACAGTAATAGCTTGCTTGCAGCCTGAATTCCGCCCTCAAAATTTTGGGCTGCAAGCGGGCTACACAGTTATTGCATATATGCAGATGTACGGTAAAAAATCTACCTTTTCGCCCCAGTACAGACCATCTTTCCTGAACTAAATATCAAAGCTGTCGTCCTTGGTTCTCGTATTCTCATAATAACAGCTGCAAATCTCTATTGAATAAAAAATAACAGAGCTAAACTCACCTCAAATCACAATACCTTAACACATAAAATGGTCTGGCTTTTGACGGAGTAAAATATCAAAGTACTGGTAACATGCATATTACCTTAGGGTTGTATTCTGCATTTCTTGCATGTAATGCAATTTTTTTCAGATCCAACTTACAGCCAAGATTCACAGTCGATACAATATTCCTATGATCAGGTAAAAAATGCAATTTTATCCTTCTTGGGCTGGTTTAAAGCCAGGTTAGTAAGGATGTGCCGGATGCTGGGGCCGGTTGTATGAAGGCCAGATAGCGCTATCCACCGGATAGTGATTTTTTCAACCTTTGAGAAAATGCTTCAAAAACTGCGAAACTACGGATATAAACGACACAAGAAGTATAAAAAACATTTAACTTATAAGTACTAAACTTTAAAATGAGTTATACCAATCAACAACTGATTTAACAAATCTTGAAAAAATGACTATCCGGTGGATAGCGCTATCCGGCCTTTGTACAACTGCCCCAGGATACTAGTCTACCATAACCAGATACTGATGGTGGTACTTGGACAATATGTCACTAACTTTTTGTCATAAAATAATCTGTTGTCTGTTTAGTGTAGAGTTTACATTACCGGTACAAATATTTTCTGGTCGTTCCAGAAAAGATACACGCTCCCCCCACAAAGAAAATTTCTACCATCTGGAGGGGGAGGGGAGAAAAATTGTTTCTGATAATAGTAAGTGTATTAGGACATACGAAGGGGGTAGGGCGGTTAAAAACTTCCAATTTCCTCCGTGGGGCTGAGGTGTGGATGTTTTTTGGAATGACCCAATGTGTCACATGTCCGATAGTTGTTTGTGTTTCACTGTTTTCACAATATCTTAATGCAAAACAGACAGTTTTGTGGACATAATAAAAGTTCCAATACTATCTAGTAAATATGAGGCAAACTTTTACCAGATATCAAATAGTGCTGGATGTCTGCATTTTGCCGGAGCACATCCCTACCGGTTCAATCATTCAAACAAGTATCACTCACTGTAGCTGTGGTAAAATTCCCGATGATTCAACCGACATTGGCGTCATAGGTGTGAGAGGCGTCATTGGTCCAGGGGTCATGGGGTTTAGTGGGAAGGGGGACATACCACTTTGAAACGAAGAGGTTGATTGCACGCTGGGCGGGTACAGATGTGATGTCTGGATGGAAAATAAGATGAACTGGGGTCAGGAAGAGGTTGAATCTGATTATTAATTTTACAAAATATCTAGATGCCTGGCAGTCATTAGTATTCATTATAAAAAGGTGGTTATTTTTCCGGTCACAGAAACCAATGAGCTTTGGCTATTTGTCTGTGAACTAATTTGATTGGTTCATTTCTTCGTTGTCAGCTTGCTAAAATAACATCAAGTAAATTTCATTAATTTTCAAGCAAATCCTCGGTAGCCCGAGTGGTTAACACACTTGCCTTGATTCTTACCATTGCCTTTGGCCTCAATGGTTTCCGTGACCGGAAAAATACCAACTTCGTCCTCGTATTAATATATTGGAAATTTATAATGGTGTTTTTTAAATCTTAAATAACATGTGTGAAGTTTAATACGTTTGATGTGAACTTGAAACTGCTAGACTTTAATATATATACAGTTGTTATTCTTATATACAGCTTGATATTTATCAGCTGATAGGATTTAATATGTGTTAATAATTTGTACTTTATTCTGAATTTGAATAACACAGAAATGAGGTATGAAATTGAGTTATTCTAGCTCGCAAACCTGTCTTCTGACAACGCTAGGGCTGTCTTCATCGCCTGGGTCCATACGCTCCATGTTGATCAAGCAAAAATATCACTTTTCAAACACGATTTCAACTCTCAATTCAAAAAAAAAAAACCCCGATATTTTTTCGTCTCCTTCCTTTATATACGTTCCCACAACGTCCGGAGCTCTCCGGAATACCCCGACTTTTCCGGAATCCCCCGATGATTTCGAAATCCGGTTCGATCTTTTCCGGAATCCCCCGATGATGATGATGGTGGTCAAGCCCTCCCCCCCGTCTCTTCCAACCATGCAAGATGTTTACATTTTATTATACGGTTTTCCCGGTGGGTTGTTCCTTTTTTCATGAAGTTTTGAAATCAAAATGGAGGAATAACAGGAGTGGTATTTTAAAGTTGAAACAAAAAGTAAAACAAAAACTACAGTCGGTTAAATATTTTGTAGTCAAAATTGTGTAAAGTTGTTTTTGTGTCAATATGTCAGACGTTGATATACTTATGGAGATGGGCTTTCCCAAGAATAGAGCGTAAGAATCATATTAATTATTAAAATTAATAAAAAATATTAACTGTTTAATTTATAGGGTAGACAAATATGACCATGAAGTATGTGAGAGAATATCGTGTTTTTACACATATTAAAATGCTAAAGTTCACAAACAGAACAGACTTCATCGGGCCAAGCCAATTACTGAGTGTAGAAATGTATTGCCTCAATCGTCCCTAGGTGCTGTTGAACAGGTTTATATGAAGTATTCTGGTGGCATTTATATAGCACCTGAGGACGAGGTAGCTAAGTGTACACCTCCCAAGCAGGGGGGGGGGGGGTGAGACTGCCCAGGAAGTTAACAAAGGAATGGGCATCTCCTAATGAGTAAAAAATTATTGTATCAAATGGATCCTCATCACAACCCAAAGCATTAACATAACTGTAAAGCTTTCAGTGACATAAATGACACAAAGGAGGCAATGAGGTCACTTGCAAAGTTTGCTAGAAAATTTGTAGGTTTTAGAGCTGTTTTATAGAAGGGAATATGTATTGAATCATTTAGTGAGAAAGCTTTGGCAGCCACAAAACATAAAGGAGTTCAGCTTGCTATGGACTGGTGAGGAAAATATAAAACTGCATTATTTTTGCCGTTAAATGAGCTCAAACTTGTTAACAAACTAATGAATGTTCTTCAGGTTGTTTGCACACGCAGATGATGCTGATATTGACGAACCATTGAAACCTGACGAAGGACATACGCTCGGAGCAGAAGATAAAATACCTGGTATACTATCACATGTGGATATTGGGCACCCATGCACTCGATATAACTCATTATATAGAAGCATTTTGTTGACAGAAATTCCAAGTGTGAATTTTATACGTTTATTACTCCTAACCAGGGGCAGTTGTGACAAATACAACTATATGGGGGGGGGGGGGGCTCCCTTCTAGTGACTCCCCTCTCCCCTGCTGACAATCCTTAGATCTGCTAAATCACTACATATCACTATTAATTAATAAACGTTTTCTTTTATCAAAACAGTTGAAAATCTTGATGTGGATAATGATGATAATGTTGTTGGCAGTGTGGAGCAATCTGAAGGACAGCCTCAAGCTTTGTCCTTGAAATGTGAAGAGTAGGTATTTCTTATACACCCCTTGTATAGAAACCTCTTGTAGTTATTGGCATGCACTTTACATATAACAGCGCTAATTCATTTCAAGACTCAAGTACTGCTTCATTTGTTGTGAGCTCATGATTTTAAGGTTGACTACAATGGGTCTATTCCTACTTGCAAGTCTACTAAAAAGTTCTTTATTTTTAAATGTAATTTCTCTATTTTCAGTTGTGGAAAGTCACTAAGAAGTGAGGCCCAAGTGCAAGTATGTCAAAAGATATGTAACAAGAATAAAAAGCACTGTCCTGATTGGTGTTTAATTAATTAAACTACACACGTAAAAATGTGCAAGTTGCTACCGATTTGTGACAAACCTGCAGTAGACTTGTAGCAATCTGTTCCAACAACTTGTCAACAGGATGTGTTCGCACTGCTTGTTCCCAGCTTGTTGACAACTTGCTACAAGGTTGTTGAGCTCAACAGACCTGTTACAAGTTGTTCTAAGTTATCGTCCTGCAATTCAACAATTTGTCAACAAGTTGTGAGTGACAACCTTGTAGCAACTTGATAAAATAACAACATTGTTACAACTTGTTGACAAGCTTGCTACAAACCTGTTGCGAACACATCTTGTTGACAAGTTGTGAGATTTTTACGTGTGTAGTTCGGTCACAAACCACAGTCTATACTTGACGTTTAAGTTTTAGATGTTTTAATAACGATTTGCTTTGATGTTCAGATGCATGCGGCAAGGACAGGTCATCAAAATTTTGCAGAATCAACGGAAGAGGTTAAACCATTGACGGAGGATGAGAAAAAAGCGCAATTAGACAAGTAGGAGGGGTTTTGTTAATGGAAATTGAATTTTTGTACATTTATTAATTTGGCCTAACCAGGGGCAGTTGTTTTTCGTACATTGAATCATATATCTACTTTGGTATTCATTTTGTAGGTTGCAAACAAAAATTGTTCAACGACGTCAAGAACGGGCGGAAAAGGAGAAACAGGTCCAGAAATATAGTGTTTTTAAAAAGTCGCGAATGAGTAGAATACTGGTTTTGTTTTTTCCCAAGACAGAGAAGTAAATACTGTCATGGAATTGAAATAACAATACACTGATTTGGGAAACAGGACGCGAACTGAAAGCCTTCGAAACAAAAGCCGTGTTTACACTACGAGCCTAAGCCTGGCCTAGCTTTGGACTAGATTTTTGTTGTGTAAACGCACTTCGGTCTGGCCTAGACCAGGAAATCTGGGTCCATCAGAACAGGTGGCCCAGATTTTCTGGCCTAGGCCAGGCCGAAGTGCGTTTACACTACAAAAATCTAGTCCAGAGGTAGGCCCAGGCCAGGCTTAGGTTCGTAGTGTAAACACGGCTAAAGAAACTCTTAAAAAACAAAAACTTTAAATAATTTGTGGTCCGAGGGGTATCCTCAACAACGTTGTCATTTTTAAACTAAGATTTCGACGTCTTTGGAACAACTTGAGTGCTTGTGGCGACGGTAGAGGAGTTAAATAAAATCTGCCTCATAGCCGACACCGAATTGACTTTCGAACTTAGCCGTACAGTAAACAAGTTCGTTAGCCCTCAATCTTGACCCGAAATAGACCTTTCCCCTTATGAGTGAAATTTTGATCTGGACAAGTGTAGACAAAAATTTCATCACAGCTTGAAAAAGCATCACCAAATTAGTAATATTCCGAAGTTTCGTTGCGAAATGTTGTAAAATGCGGATAATATAGCCTTGCGAAGTTTGCCGTTTTTCAGTCATTTTGTATTACAAATGGGAAATTGGTAATCAGTTTGATCATCTGATTATCAATTTCCCGTGCGTAATGCAAAATGACTTAAAAACGGCAAACTTCGCAAGGCTATATTATCCGCATTTTACAACATTTCGCAACGAAACTTCGGAATATTACTAATTTTGTGATGCTCTTTCAAGCTGTGATGAAATTTTTGTCCAGACTTGTCTAGATCAAAATTTCACTCAAAAGGGGAAAGGTCTATTGAGATCGCGTTGTCGTGTTTGCTTCGTCGTTTCTAAATCTGTCTAATAATAGTCCACAACGGCCATTTACAGGAAAATGTTGAGCGAGAGAAAATCAGACGAAAAAGTGGAAAAGAGAGGACAGACTTCAAACAAAAGTGCGTGATTCAGTTCACTTCACAAATCACAATAAGGCCAAATAAAAAAAAAACTTGGTTAACGTCACACTCTCACAAATTTTCAGAGGCGGGAGGGCGCTTTTTTAAAAATTTTTACTCGTTTTTTACTATTTTTTTAAATAGTATTTTTTGAGGGGATGGGGGCGGTTTTTCCACCATATCGGTGATATTTTTTGTACTGATGTTGCGAAGGCCGCCATTTTGCTATAAGAACCTTGTATACCCAACACCACGCGCTCCTATCGATCAGTATATAGCGCGATGGTCTGAGCATGAGAAAAATTTCAAATATTAAACTGTTTTAAGCTGTAAAACGAAGAGATTTACATAAAAAAAATTTAGAAACTTCAGAGGCGGCAGAAATCGAAAGGCGTGCGGTGACGCTAAACAAGTTTTTTTTTATTTGGCCTAATGCAGGTTTGGTTTTGGCCAAACACAACCTATATTTGCGCATTTATCAGCTGAGTTGCTGAACTAAAATACAAACTTATCAAAAGGTTCGAGGTTCAAGAAGCTCAAAAGATCGCGGAGCAAAGAAGACGCGAAAAACTCGAGGAGAAAAAACTCAGGTAGTTTATACAATCATTTCTTCTTTCGCGCGGGAAACGCAATGAAATACTATATACAGTTTTATTTGCAAAGCATTCAATATTTTTAGACAAAAACTTAAAGAAGAAATTGCACGAGATCGCGCTGAAAAAGCTTCACAGGTAAACTTTGAAAAATGGAAGATTTAGACTCTTGTTCATCTGTGAACAATGAAGGCCATTTCATACAACTTTGCCTATACGGACCTATACGTTATAACAGTACGTGAGTTTTGTGCTTGATTTACACAGTACAACTCAAGTTGTAAGCATGTTGCATGCCACAGTTTTAGGCAAAAGTTGTATAGTGTAAATCGGCGTTGAAAGGAATTGAGTGTAAAAATTGTGTACACTATATATTTCAGTCATCTTCAGCTAAACCCGCAAGTCACGTAACGCCACCCGCAGCTTCGTCATCAGCATCAGGGAGCACGCAGTCTGTCTTAAAAGAATACACAACCTGCAGATTACAGGTATATAAATTATAAACTGTTCTTCCTAGAACTCCAGTCAGAGTTTCATCCCTCATTTTTCTTATGTCATTTGGAATTTAACCTATGGCTATGCCCAGACACTTTATGATGTAAACCCTTTAAACAAGTTTTATAGATTATATGTTATACAGGACTCGTTGGCATTGCTGAGTTCTAGATTAAGGTTACAGGTTGGTTACAGGACACCCTTTTTGGCGTTTTGCGGAAAATCGCTACTGCGCGCTCAATATCAGTCCGATTTTCATCAAATTTTCACCAAATGTTCTCCAGTGAATGCTAAATATATGATGAAGTTGTAAAATTAACAAACAATAAAAAATTGTAAGAATTATTTAGGCAAATCTTAAATCGCGGTACCGTTACGCTTTTGAGTTGTGCTGCTGGGCAATTTCACGTTGCGGACATTACATTCACAGAAAAACAATTAATACAAAACATGCTCTGTTTCCTGTTTGCAACAGTTTCAGATCTGGGAACTTTGTCATAGAAAACCTTAAGGGGACCTCTTAAGATTTCATAAAATAAAACAAAATTCCCTCGTAATCAATTCTTGTAATAAAAAGTCAAAGTACTGTTGCGGACATTACAGCAAAATCAACCACACATTCAAGTGATGTTTTTAAAATGTAATTTCCTGTGAACTTTGAAAGGTATCAAAGGAACTAAAACACTTCCTGCTCTCAGTGATAATTGGGGTTAAAAAATATGAAAACGAGATGTTCTACAATGCCCTTGCGCAGCTTTTATAGTGCAAAGTTTGTGTTGCGGACATTACACTGAAACTGTTGCGGACATTACATTTTTGGGATTGTATAGCAATCTGTATTAAAAATGATAGGAAATCAAAACTGGGTGACTGATTATGCACTTCAATGTTTCTAGTCCACATAACAGGCATTCTAGCTTAATTCTATTTACATTTGTATACCCATGGGCGTACCGGGCGGGGGGGGGGGGGGGCGGCAGCCCCCCCAGTTTGTTGGGCAAACAAAGCCAGTCGGGCAATATTCGCTTCACACTTGGGCAATATTGGCTTATTATAAAAATAAATGGGACAAATTCTGTCAATTTTGTGGGGAATTCTGTCAATTTTGTGGGAAATATGCTATCTATCTAATAGGAATTCTACGTCGACAACAATTTTGGAAAGTTTCTCCGGAAATTTTTTTAACAACGCGGGCACAATCCGAAAAAGTCAGGCAAATTTCTTTCCTCCCCCCTAATTTTTTCCTTCCTGTATGCCCATGTGTATACCACCATAAATCCTGGGATGAAATCATGGTCACATATATTACAGTATATAATCTTCTGTTGACAATAATATCTTTCAAAAGTGCAATATTTGTTGCGCATAGACTCAGGCAATGACTCGGGTTGTGCAGCAAATAAAGTGTCATGTTTGTAGACCATTCTATTTGACAGTTTTGCATTTGCTACATTTGGTGGGGACAATTAGCACCCCTGGGTTTAGTGGAAGATGATCAAAACAAACATGAATTAAAACATGATTTTGCTCTTAACAACATATGCCTTACAAAACTGATGGTACAATGGCAGTATACGGTAGTGGCATTATATGTAACTTGGAAACTTTCCATGATGAATTGTGTCACTGTGATTGTGTATACAGCACGGAGTGATTATATTTAAAAGTAAGGGTCCCATAGTCCTTTTAATGTTCTATTTTTAAGTCATCAAGCTTAAAATAACTATAGAACTCAAGCAAGAAAATTATATAAGCATCTAATTCTCCAATTTCAAAAATGTAATGTCTGCAACGTAATGTCCGCAACACATTATTCAAGACATGTTAATACTTTTTATTGTCTTTTTCCAGTCTAAAATAATGTTAATACCATTTTAAAAAAGCAGCACAAATATAATGTCAAAAGAGCTAGACGTTTGGCTGAAAAATAAATTGAATTGTTTTTTGTTGCGGACATTACATTTCTC